GAGCTTGGTTGTTTTCTTGCAAACGTTTCATTACCCGGCTAGGTAACATCTTCAGTGCTAGCCCCAAGGACTCCACAGTTCAACCCTAAGCTACACATATTCTCTTCTATTGGTAAGAGCGCTGCACTTGAGAGCTAGAAAAACGATGCCACTTTTGTATCACTGTTTCAAAGGACAACCTTATTCCTAGCAAGTTCTTGAGCAATTTGAAGATTCCAAGAAGATATGCCATTGCTATTTCCACACACAATATGAATTTCTTTACAGACAAAAATCAGAAAGACAGAATGCTTAAATCTTAATGTTAAGGTCCACAACTGTAACATATGGGATATATCATGAGTGACATAGTCCTTTGACTAATCAGTAAAAACCTATTACTACTCTTGCTACTATTCCTATCATAAAATGAAGAAATATTCATATTTATCACAATCATAATAGAGTGATCCAGGCTCAGAGACCAAGTAGGGGGATTTGGATGGTGTGACCATGTGCCCACTCAACCCCCTTCAAAAGTAGACACTCAGCTGTGATTTTAAATACAATGAAAGATTTTAAATGGTTAAATAATGGTGTATTCATATTAATTTAAATCAGTTTTTTAACTGGACCCATTCAGTTTATGCTGACCCATTACTATTTGGATCACAACCCTCAGTCCCCAAAGACAGCACATCTCTGGCCCAAAGCAAACTCCATGGGCTCTAAAGGACCTGGAATAGATGCTTCAGAACTGAGGATGGGGCAAAAGACAGCCTTAGATGTTCTTCCCATGAAAACGTTCATTCAGCATCAGACCCCTCAATTATGTTGGCCTACACTAGGTGTATTCAATATTTTCCCTACTAGGACCAATACAGGGGGAAAAACAACTGCCACTAATGCAGCCAAAGGAAATATTTCCTGCCTGGCCAGCAGGATCAGGCATTTGGAAGCAGTGAGTCATTTCCACCTTCACTCTTTGCTTTGGAAAGCAGGGAGGACTCACCGCAAAAACACCTCGTACAACCCAGCCGTGGTACTGTCGTAATGTTCTGCCATATGCATTATCTGCAAAGAGAAAGGAAAGAAGTTGCGTGATACCGCATTCAGATCAGAAGTAGCCAAAAAGAAACAGATTTCTTCTTCATGCAAAAACTTCCTAAGCGTGACATTTTTTCAGGCGTGAAAAGTTAGGTTTGTTTTTCACTCTAAGCTTTGCCTCTTACTCAGTACATGTAATCCAAGCAAAAACAATGACAGGACAGATTTCTTTGTTTTTCTTTCCCAAAGTCCTGGCATTTGTAAGATTCCACAAAATATTCCATACTTACTCAGCGCCATTTGGATGTTTTTCTCTCCGTTCTTTAGTTCTGTCAAGAACTCCTTCAAAAATTTTAAACCTCTGTTTGTAATAAACAAGGTATGTATTACCATCTCTCAAAACATTCCATTCATTTTACAAAGACAAAGTCAAGGTATGTGAGTGTCCCATAGCCAGCCCCTTTGTACCTCTGGGGTTCAGTTTTACGATGCTATTTCAGTCCTTTTCGCACATCCATTGAAAGATGCCTAACAGGCTTTCCAGAGCCCATATCTATGAATTCCGTATATATCAATTACTGCTACTTTTGAAAACAAGCACTGATTATTAAATTGCAAATACTGGCAACTAATTGTGATAAAAACAGTTGCTATGATTGGTTTCATCAAATGAATTGTCTCAAACAAACCTCCCTGGAAAAAAAATCCCTAAAGAACATCTGCTTCCAATTGCACAAATTGGTTCTTGTAAAATCAAGGACATTTCTCCAGCTATTTCCAGGGTGTCAGAAAACGATCTCAAAATTATCAGGGAGCAGTGGCATTTTTTGTTTTTCTAATTCATCACATGAGGTGGCTGAAGCTTTTTCCCTTACTCTTAAAATGTTTCTCAAAATATCTCAGATGTCTGCAACAGAGCAAAACTCTTTCTAGAATGCAGGCAGTCTTTTCAAAAACGTTAAGAACAGTAAAGGTCACTATTGCTGTGACAAGTTGTTAACAAGTCCAGTGTGCAGACTCAATGCCCCTATATCAGGGTTCCTCAACCTTCGCAACTTTAAGACGGGTGGACTTCAACTCCCAGAATTCCCCAGCCAGCCTTGAAGTTGAAGTCCACCTGTCTTAAAGTTGCCAAGGTTGAGGAATATATTGTTCTATATTCCTATATTGTTCTATATCCCTATATTGTTCTATGCATGCAGTTATCTAATATCAGCAGTAGACACCCCTTGGACATTTACATTTAATAAGCTAAGACTAAACACTTTGTCCTGTAAATTTGCTTCACAGTTCTTCTACCCACAAGTGAAGTAGTATTGAAACTTTACAAATCAAACCACTCTCTTGAACATTTAGGATACGGTAGTGAAAAAAAAAAGAAGACGACAAAATCATGTCAGGGGACATCATGGCTTAAGTTTACAGCTGAATCTGAAAGTCTGTAGTCTGCTTTTAATTAGACAATGATTATCTCAGAAATCTGAGATTTCATAGCTCCTGCTGATCTGGTTTCAGGGCCATCCCTCCTCTGTAATGTGATAAACATTATTTATGGATTTTAGAGAAAAGGCAAGTCCTCGCTATTGGTTCACCATGGAAGCAATCTCAGTCACCCCCAATCAGAGAACTGACCTTTTAAGCCAGAGGAGGGCCTGTGTAGCTGAGTGTCGAATCTGGGCCACTTCAGTGCTCAATTCATGAAGGACAATTTTCTGAAGGGTACAGAAGTCATCTTTGTTGGTTATGTATTTCTGATTTATTTTCTGAAAGGAGCAGAGATCCCAAACATATGTTTTAGCCTTTTTAGCAAATGAAGAAAAAAAAAACTTTAAAGACATAAGTCTCCTGGTATCCTAGCACCTTTACTTAATTTAATGGTGAGATTGAGAGATTCACAGTACTTGGATCTAAAACAGGCAAGGGTGCATTGGATTCATTGTGGGGACAGCCAACAGGTGCAGGAGGGTGCCCATGACAGATATGAAGCATTTTTGTCAAGCTCTGATCCAAATATTGCATGCCTCTAGACTCACAAGATCCAGGAGCTGGAGAAGTTCATTACAAAGAACACAGGATCTGAAGCTTTTTAGCTCAGGAAAAAGCTAGTGAGCTAGAAAGAACATGGCAAAGCACACTGGAGAAAATAGAGGAAGAGCAGGGGTCTCCACAAAGGGGGTGCATGTAGAAAAAAAAAAGATGGTGGCTGGGTGATTCAAGTTTGCACCTTTCTAATGTACATTGCAGATATAGCGTACATAAAAAAGGTGTGGAGCTTCAATTGTGTGGCCACCATCTTGACTCTTTTGACGCTCTCTGTGGATACCCCAATAGGGACTGAATAAGGCTGCTGCTTGCAATCTTAGCTGATGCTCTTCCCTATGTGTAGTACTATACTGTATCATTATATTATAGTATTAGTATTTTCAGTTATCATTTTGTGTTGATTGTTGAACTGCTCACTTTTCATGGCCTCCAGCTATGCGAAGTCATACAGAATCATGCTAACATTAGGGGAACCATCTGGTTTTGGTCAGTAGGTGAAAGAAGTTAACCTTCTAATCTGACCCAATAGGAAATATTCTGTGTTTAGGGCATAAAAATTCATAGGCCAAAATCTACTTCACTGGGTGCTTTAAATACATTGCGAACACATAAGCTATGCATACCCAGGTTTGGGAGGGAATATTGTATAGGAATGATGTTACATATGAATATGTTGTGGATTTGCGGCTCCAGCACAGCTGAATTTGTTCTACATATTAAATCAACCTTCCTCAACCAGATGCCCTCCAGATAAATTGGGTTATCTCTCCAATTATCCCAGTGAGCTTTCTTTTTTAAAAAAATAATAGTGTTCTTCATACTGCACATTGCATAAGTAATTGCTATTCATTAAGTCTGATGGTTGCTTTGTCTTGTAAGTATCAGATTGCCCAAAGCCCCAATGAGATTTTAATAAAGGACCAAAGACTGAAGTAATATCAGTCAATCATCATTGCAAGTAGCATGGCACTGAGTTAATGTAATCCCCAAGTTATTCTGCCCAAATGGATGATGTTTTCTTAAACTCTAAATATGCAATTCAGCTGGAGATTCCTTCCAACAGTAGTTTTTCTCCTTCTCTGAAAAGCACAGGGCAGGGGAGGATATTCCTGCATCTATTCCTCTTTGAAAAATGCTAAATGCAACTTCAAGCGTGGGGATGGCTAGCCCCATAGAGGCCTGCTGTCTTCT